ACCGCTACATCGGTTACCGTGACAACCCTAATTGTAACTAACCCTAGCACTGTAACTATAACCACTTTGCTGCAGCTGGCCTTGTTGGTCTGTGACAGCAATTGTTACTCTAGTCAGGCTCTTGTTATTTCCTGTTTTAAATTGATAAACTAGAAGTAATTTCAAGCTGTCTTGAAATAAATTTTTACTCGTATGTTAAAGGAGACAATGGGGTAATTGGAGAGCCTCCTGCTGCAGTCACCCACTCCTCATACAGTGCTTACTTTCCTATTGCTTGAACTTTCTGACTCTTTTCAACTCTTCATGAACTGTACTCATTCAACCACACAATGACAATTATGTGGGCGTTGGATTATTTTTATACAATTAGAGGAAATGCAGGATTTTAATTACAGTTGGCTTCAGTTTGGGTCGTCTGCTGCGTGGAACTTTCTTATTGAAAATTTCTGCAGGGTTGTAGCTCCTAAGAGCAGTGTAAACAATAATTATGATTTTATGCTAGAATAGATTCTTTGTGGAGAGTAAATTGTTTCTATAAAACAGGTGATTAGGATGCAGTGAATTTATAGATCTGTGCAGCATATAATGGAGTTTTTTGCAACAGCAGAAACAGATGGAGATGGTCTTTGTGCCTGAACCAAAACGTAATACAGCTCTCATGTAAAGATAATCATTTTTAAAAACTTTGACAGGTAAAAGAATATCGATAGACTGATATACAGTAAATCCTCTAATACAGGCCCGGGCCTGTATTTGACTCAAGCTCATCAAGCTCCAGGCCTTTATTGGAAGGAGGGCCAGTATTAGAGGCAGGCCTCTATTTCTAATTGAGCAAAATGAACTAATGGTTCGCTGGAGTTTTTGACAATTAAAATTGCGCCCACATTTTCAAAGTTAAACACATTTCTTTTAACAACGGTAGTTTCTGCTTCAGCCCTCTCCCCCCTCCCCCTGCGCAGCGGCCGCAAACTCACTGATGCCCCTGCAGCCTCTCGGAGTTCCTGCTGCTCTAAACATTAAAATAATTATTTCATTTTCTGTTCCTCACTTCTGATGACCTTCAATGGTGTCTGTTTGTTGCAACAGCAGGTACAAAAACTAACTTGTTTTTATTTGACTATTTTTCTGTCCTGTCTGTTTATTATCTTCCTGCATCTCCTCTCAATCCTAAAGAAAAACTGCTACCTGGGTTCATATATATTCACCTCATGAGTTACCTTTGAACTGCAGTTCTAAAAGATCTACCGACCGCTAAAACAGCGGAGCGCTCGCTGTTTGGCGGCCGTATCAGTGATCAGTGCGTCGGAGGACAAGGTGATGCGCGCAGCGCCCCGCTCCACAGAATGCAGCGAAACGCATCAGGCGCAAATAAAAGACAGAAAGCATTAAAGGAAATGAACTGACATGAACGATCGCGTGTTAAATTAGTTTTTGAGGTGGCGACACCTGATTGTTACTGTGGCCGTGCTCAGGAGGCAGATCTACCGACCGCGAAAACAGCGGAGCGCTCCCTGCTTGCCGGCCGCATCAGTGATCTGTGCGTCGGAGGACAAGGTGAAGCGCCCCGCTCCACAGCAGCGATACACATCAGGCGCAAATAAAAGACAGAAAACATTAAAGGAAATGAACCGACATGAACGATCGCGTGTCAGTACCTACGGTCTGGCACAGCGCGTCCCCCCCCCCCCCCGAGCGCAGGAGCTTGTCACCTGCTGATAGCAGGCTGCTGTCTTTTCCGAGGGCTGCATCTTGCCGGTCATTATCACGTGACAGCGACTAGTCGACGGCAGGCATAAAAAGTAACTACAGTAATCCCTCGTTTATCGCGGTAGATGTGTTCCAGACCTGGCTGCTATAGGTGAAAATCCGAGAAGTAGGGACTCCCAGCATGCCCCTCGCGGGGATTCCCTCTACGTTGCACCTACGTCACAAACCGCGGCTATAAACGGAAGTCGCCTTTCCAGCTCACCACTCAGTCATCGTTTCTTCAGATTCTTGATCAGAGTTTCCAACCTACCGATCAATCCAACGAACTATTAGCTCATAGTAAGTTATCTTACTTACTTCTGGAAAGCCCGGCATTTCCGTGTCACTTCGTTGACACTCGAACGCTCGGGGGTTTCCTAGATCAGCCGGCGTTTCACCGACGCTATCACTTCCGCGTCTGTGAAACCACACTCCCTATTGAATTATCGTATGATCACATTCTCTTTTTGTGGGTAAAACTCAAGAAAAAATTTTTTTACTTGTTTTTTTTAGTTTTATTACAAAAAGTGCATTTTATGATGAAATTGATGAAAAAAACAAGAACTTCTTGATATTTCGCATAGAAAAATACCGCGAATCAGTGAAAAATACCGCGAATCTGCGAATTCCCCCTGAAAAATGCTCCAAAGAAAAAATCCGCGAAGCAGCGAATCCGCGATGAATGAACCGCGAAGTAGCGAGGGATTACTGTATAGTGAAGTTGACTAGTTCATACACCCCCTACTGCTGCTCTCCAGAGTGTTCTGCAGCATAATCAGCACGTTCTCTTTGAACTTGATAGTGTAATGACCTGGCTGGGGTTGTAAGCCAGGTGCATTCTGGGTATTGTGTTATATGTGTTTCCTATCGTTCTGCTAGTTCCTATGTGCTGATTTGCGTGTTGTGTGAGTGTTATGTAAGCCACAGGGAAGGTGATGTGTGTTCTGTGGAGGGGTTGAATTAGCATGGTTAACTGACACCGTGACTCTGTGTGGTAGGAGCGTGATAGAGGATCGTGTCTGTAGCGTTACAAAGCGTTGAAGAAAAAGCCCATTAAAGGTCTGCGTGAACCTCTACTGCCTCCTGCTGGTTGATTTGGGGACTATAACCCTGCCGCTGGGACGCTCATACTTGCTTGTTACCACATTCCACCCGGCCACAATAAGAGACCGGCCATTATTTACCTCCGCTGACTCTGACACCGGCCAAAATTGGAGACCCGGCCTTTAATTGAATACCGGCCTGTATTAGAGGATTTACGGTATATCGGAATATTTTGTGTGTTTTGTGTCTGCTGAAGTTCTAATGGAGTGTGGCTAGATCGACAAGCAGAGCAAACTCACATTGCTTTGGCTACTTCCTGTCTAGCTTTCTAGGCTACTTCATCTAGTCTGCTAAAATTTAAATTTCTTCCTCATGTTTTATTTTCTCTCCTAATAATCAGGATTAAAACTGCATGAGCTGTGGGACAGTAAAATGGGACAAAACCCTAGCGGGACAGTTAATATTGATAAGAGGTTTAGAGGAAATCCCCTGGTGGGTGTTTTTTTGATGCAGTGTGGTGGTTTGACTCCCAGCGCTGCTATTATCTATACGTCTATAGTACATTGCCCTCTGTGCCAAGTCATACTCATAATGATGATGGAAAATCCTGACTGACCTCAGGACATTAGTAATTTAAAGCGGATAACAGCAGATCCTCCTAAACACACTTTTCCATGTGAGTTTGAGCTCACTTAGGAAAATTTCACCATCAACTCAGATGTTTTATGAAATAACTTTTGTGCCTTAATTTTCTATTACATGGTATAAGAGCCAGTTTTCAAAAATGTCAAATCTCTTAAACATAATTGTTGGTGAGACCAAAATGGATCTTAATGCCAGGATTTCTCACGGGCGGAGCCTCCTTTAACTGCCCCCATTTCTCCAGTTTTCTCAGCAGCACAATGAGATGCAGTAAATGTGTTTATCCATGCAAAAGAAAAAAAATGGTTATTTTCAGAAAATGTGGCTCATTTTATAGCATTTTTTGTATTAAATGGTTGTTTCTACCATTCATGTTGCACCCTATCTTGCTGCATCTACTCAGATTTTGTTCAGAAACATCTCCGATGCAAAGCTGGGTGTTGTGGAGGTAGATCCAAGAATTACAAAGTAAAACAATAAAGATTCTGTTGTTTTTTTCCCTGTTTTTAGAGGCTGCTCTGAGCATAAACAGACCCTGTTCTCATAGTCTGACCTGCTTTTTATGGGATAATCAGCATCAGTTTCAGGTTTTGCCTTTCTATGTAATAAATGTGAAACACAAAGTGGGCGTGCAGGACTGCGTTCATATCTGCAGCCAGCGAGCTGATTGAGGTCAATCTGTGATTTGTTGCTTCAGCCTCAGCTGTGATGTTTCTGCAGGGCGTACAGTTCTACCTACAGCTCCCTGTGTTTACTACCAACATCAAAAAGCTCGTCTCTGCCTACTGCCAGGACATCGTTTCAAATGCAAGTCATTGTTTGAATTTCAGCAGAGCAGAATTGAATGATTTATTTTGTTCTTTTTATCCGCTGTAATTTTACTCTGCACCTGTTTTTAATCTTTCAGAAACAAAGCCGCACATCAGCATTTTGGCCCATTGATCGACTCATTAAAAGGAAGTTTCCCTTTTACTTTCTGTGCTGTGTGATAAAGCTGTTGTGCCTCAGCAACTTGAATCAGTACAGTTTCAAGGGGTTCTGTTTGTAGGACAGAAAAATAAACTGTTATAGTCTCCATCTGCGAGAAATGCGTGGCAACTTTTATAAGAATAATTGAATATTTGAGGGCAATATTATTTATGAGTAGAATAGGTGTTTATTTTCATAAAAATAATTTTGAATGTCTCTGTTATGTGTCCCCAAAGATTGTCCTGAATCAACTATAACATATTTGGCGGCTCGTCTGGGATCAGAAACAAAAGTCTGTTCAAAACCTGGCTTTGTTACTGATGAGCATCTTTTAAGCAAACTACCAACCTGAAAGCCAAGCAGAGAAGGCAGGAAATATTATACAGTCAGAATTACATAAAATATGTGTGTTTTCCTTTCTTTCTGTGCAGTAGAGGTGGCCAGACAGCTTCAAATTTGAATCCCATTTTCAGGAAATTTGCAATACTTTTGAAGAAATGTAGATAAAAACACTGCAGCTCGCAGGTGGCTGCCACATTTGTATGTCACGGTCAGACCTAGTGACGATCAGCCGGATCCTACAACAGCCAAACACAGAGAAAGTTTTAAAGAGTTTATTTAAAGACTTGTTAAAGCGATCTGGACCAGCTGGAGTCAGTTCCTTCCGGGTGACGTGGCCTGGGAGACAGAAAACATTCAGCGAGGGTGATGATTCAGATGTCTTAATCTGAGGAGTTACTGACCTTCTAAAAACAGCAGCAGTGTTCAGCGTTGAGGGATGCCGATGAAGGGGAGTACTCAGATTCAGGCTGGAACTGAGGGAATAGACGGGTTCCATGGTCAGACAGACCGAGGTCGGGCAACAGGCAGGCAGACAGGTTCCGTGGTCAGGCAGGCAGAGATCAATGATAAAGAGGCAGGCAGACAGGTTCAAACACTCGAAGGACTGTGACAGGGCAGCAGACGACTGAGCAGCAGGAGCCAGGTGCTTAAATAGGGAGCAGCAGAGGTGGAATTAATCAGCTAGATTACTGCTGCTGCAGGGAGACAGGAAAACACAGAGATCAGGGCATGATCATGACATTATAGGTGATTTTGTTTTGTTTTTTACAAATTATTTAATAAATATCGACAATCTATTGTAATCTGCTGTCACATAATACACTAGTGACACCTTATTTATATCACAATATGACCCTTTTTTAACATGCAGTACGTGATCATGGAGAACATGAGTGACAGACACGTTTTATGTGTATGGGATCTGTTGCTTTTTCTTGTATTCACTGTTATTTTTATGAATTTATGTGTGTTTTTCTCTCTTTCTATATGTAACATTATTACCTCTCTCTGATTCCCCTGATTTGATCAGCGGAGGTTCCTGGGTTCTGTATTCCCAGAACCAGTGCCGCCAACCATCAAATAACACTGAAGAAAATGCAGCACTGTCACCACCTGAACTTAATTCACTTTCTGCGCTTGATTGTCATACGTTGTGTGTCTTTTAGCCTCTTCACAGAGCAGCAGAACGAACATAGCTCGGCTCATAGTTACCTCCACTTTCTTGGACCAATTCTTTGAGCTAAATATTTATTTATCAATGCCACACTTTATAATTTGCAGCCATCAAAGTAAACCTCCTCCCTAAATATAAATCGCCAAACACAAAAAAATGTTTCTGAAAGTCTAATTGAACATATTCTGTCCTTGCATGTTTAAAGTGTATGGTTGAACCCCCGTTTTTAAAGGACTGCTGCTGACATTTGAAAAATTAGAATATGATGCAAAAGTTCATTATTTTAGTAAATCAATTTAAAATAGTGAAACTAATGAATGAGACAGACTCATTACGTGCAAAGCCAGGTATTTCTAGTCTTTATTTGTTATATTTGTGAAGATTATGGTTTACTGTTTATGAAAACCCCAAATTCAAAATCTCAGATAATTAGAATATTGTGAAAAGGTTCAATATTCTAGACTGAAAGTGTCACTCTAATCAGCCAATGAATCCAGAACACCTGCAAAGGTTTCCTGAGCCTTTAGATGGTCTCTCAGTCTGAGTTGAATCACTGCAATAAACAAACTTTTGCTTCATGTTCAAATTTTCTGAGTTTCTTTAAAGATCGACATCCATTAAATCTTGTTTACCTCTTTTTGAATAATAATTGAATAATAAATAAGTTAAGGAAATAATCTTTTATGCATTTTCTAAGATAATACCACTGGTGAAGTTGGGAACCAAACGTGTTTATCACATTGTTTTTGTCCTTTACTCTGAACATCCTCTAAAGTTTTTTTTTTCCACCCATCATGGTGCATTTCCTGTTTTAGCTGTGAAGGTGCATTAAGATGAACTTGAGTGTGTTTCATGTTGTTGAATGATGCACCAGGAGCTCATGAAGCAGAATAACCATATTTATCAGTGTTGTCACTGGTTTTCGGTGAAGTGAAAGATGCGCTGAGAGCAGTTACTATTATTACATGTCCTATGATGACTATCTGCCATTAGTCAGGGTTTATTGGGAAGGGAAGATTAATCTAAAGATGTATATAAATCTATAGTATAGTAGTATTTAAAGGGACTATAAGGAAGTTTGACAGCCAAAATATGTATAGAAATAATAAATTTCTTCTTCATACATTCTCCTGCAATGCCCTGGTCCTGTAGAATGAGCCCTGGCATTTTTACTGTGATTGCCTGTTTTTCTGTAAAATCACAAAAAAAGAGAGATGCTCGGGTCGAGCAGGCTGCTTCATGCGCGTTCACGCTCAGGCATAGCCCATAGTATTTGCTATCCGTAGCTTTAGCAGCAGAGAGAGAGGTAGTGCCAACTCAGCGACTTTGTCGCTGTTCCTAATGCCTAGTGATGAACCTAGCTACATTTCTGAGGACCCTTAGCTACTTTCTGTAGAACTTTCTTCTGGATATTTCCTGCAAATTAGCAACAAAATAGCCATTTTCGCTTCGAACTGTTCTTTGGTTTGACGTTGTTTCAGGTGTTATCAAGGATATAAAAGTTACAGATACAGTGAAAGTTACTAGAGTGTAGCTCATCTTATAAGATGTCTGACTCCTATGCAGAAGACCCGGGTTCGATTCTGGGTGTAAATATAGTTCATTTAGACTTTCTTTTTTACATTAATGGAATATTTTTTACAGTAAGATGCCCAAATTTTTATTTGAGACTCGCCGAACGGCATTGAATTCAGATAAATAAAGATGTGTGTTCAACTTCCATTTTGGAACAATTTTTCAAGCAAGGGAAGGGAATGATCTGAGCTTGCAGGAGGACTGACCCATCATAAACCTTTGTCGGCTGTGCTGAAGAGAAAGGTACGGAACCAAATTATTTAAGTAATTAGCTGCGCGTTCTCCTGTCTTCTATCCTCGGGACACACACACACACACACACACACACACACACACACACACGCACGCACGCACGCACGCACGCACGCACGCACGCACGCACGCACACACACACACACACAGGACTGTCTC